GTTATGGGTTAGCTGCTGTAGCTCCCGCACATAAACAGACTGTTTTCTATTGGTCTGTTCTAAAGTGACTATATTGGCCGTATATTTGCTACTGGACCTGCACTGATATGTAAATGAGCTGTGAACAGACGTGTGAATTATGACATTTGCGCATATAATTAATTACCGCGGCGCGCACGTATTTACGGCTAAAGGCTAATAGCGCTAGTTTCTTTACTAGTTATGGGTCCGTCGCGAACGAAATGACTCTTAGAACCGGCTCTTTGAAGGGAACGACGGGAGCCTGATCCTTATTGGGAGCCGTGTTTTCTCTTTCTCTCACTTTTTTTCTCTTCACGCCGCGTGATTCGTGGTTTGACAGCGGCAGCGGCTAAAAACGAAACTTTGAGAAATTTGCGTGTACGTAGGATTAAAAAAAAAAAAAAAAAAAAACGAGCATATTTGACTGTAGTTTAGCATAAAATAAATAAGTCCCGGTTTAGTCCTTTTTCAGTCCTGGTTTAGACCTGGTTCAGTCCTGATTCAGTCCTGCTTTAGACGTGCTTTAGTCCTGCTTGCAACAAAACAATCTGAAGAGCCACTTGGGAGCCAAAAGAACCATCAGCTTTTAGTGAGCCGAGCCAAAAGAGCCGGTTCTCTAAAAAGAACTGGAATACCCATCACTAGTGTCTAGAATGTGATGCAAAAATGCCATTAAACCAACCTACTGTCTGTAAATATGATGTAAAGAGGCAGAATAACAACAGAATAAACCCAATTTAAAATCCACCAGAGCCAAACCTAAGTTTTTTAAACAATTCAACATTTACAGTGAATTTTTACATCACTAAATATATCGGTGATTATATCGGCTATCGGCAGCCCCAACTCCCATTATATCGGTTTCATATCGGCCACAGCAAAATCCATATCGGTCGGGCTCTACTATGGACGTGATGAAGAAGCGAACAGACAGAACGCACTGAAAACCAGTTCATCCTCATCCCTAAAAAATGAAGAAATATACATAAAGAAAAAAAACAAAAAAACATTTAAGCCAAAGATTTCGTGGCCCCCTCGTTGAAAACCTCTGGCAGATTTAAAACGCAGTGGAGCACTTCCCTCAGAGGTGGGACCAAGTCGTCGTTTTGCAAGTCTCAAGTCTTTGACCTCAAGTCCGAGTCAAGTCCCAAGTCAAATACAGGCAAGTCCAAGTCGAGTCTCGAGTCACTGGCCCATAAATCCAGGTCAAGTCCATTTCAAGTCGTTTCAAGTCTTTAAACCAAAATACCAACTATAGCTTAGATTTTTTGAAATTTATATGAATTTTAAACCAAATTGGACTTAATTCGGATTTAAAAGTGCTTCTCAAGTCTTCTCGAGACTTGACTCAAGTCCAAGTCAAGTCCCAAGTCAAATACAGGCAAGTCCAAGTCGAGTTTCGAGTCACTGGCCCATAAGTTCAAGTCAAGTCCAAGTCATCTGCTTTGAGCTTCAAGTCATTTCACATCTTTAAACCAAAATACGAAATATAACTTAGATTTTTGCAATTTATATGAATTTTAAACTAAATTCAGATTTAAAAGTGCTTCTCAAGTCTTCTCAAGTCACAGGCCTCAAGTCCGAGTCAAATCCCAATTCTTTGTCCACTTTATCAAGTCGAAGACTCAAGTCCTAAAAATAGAGACTCAAGTCTGACTCGAGTCCAAGTCACAACTTGCAAGTCCCCCACCACATGATGTCACAAGGTGGAACAGAAACTCACAACTCCACAAAACACAACTCCAGGTCTGTTTGCGATGAGGAAACAACATTACGGTAAAAACATTGATCAGAAAATAACGTAATATGGCCCCTTTAACTAACAAACTGTCCGTACTGCGTCGCTTTTTCTGCATAAACATTACGTAAACACAAAGCGATTATAGAGTATTTCTAAAATCCTTCACTTTATTTTTTGTGTCAAAGTTGTTTTCCTTTCATTCACATCATATCTTCTCCGCTCTATCCACAGAGGGACTTGGGGTTTAGACTAATTCCCACATTACAAACCCTTTGGTCGGCCTGTGCGCACATTATACGCTGTGTACACTACGGCCCGGGCTAAATAATGAATCCACCTTAGTGCTTTCAGATGTAGCACGGGCAACGCAAAAAGCCCTGTCACTCCACCCAAACCCATTAATGCCTTTTTCATGTAGATACGAACCACCATTTTACCCAACAGAACGCATTCTCCCCATTCAGGACTCAGCTATTTCGCCAAACATTGTATTGACGGCGCCCTGACCACATTTTGGCGTTTTTCTATATCGTGGAGCGAGATTATGAAACATTTATCGGGGCTTGGCGTTTTGAAGGCGCCGTTTCGACATGCTAATATAAGATAACGCGGCGGAATGGCTGGCAAAACAAGCTTTCGAGCGGCGTTTTTTTTATTTTATTTTATTTTATGTCAACGCGAGCGGGTGTAGGCTTTTTCCTAACCTTTTGCAAAAGCTGTGAATGCCGCCGCTGTGATGGGGCTCTTTTACATCAAACTGATTTTAAATGCGCTTTCTGAACTCCCGAATGCGCATTTGAAAGCAGGTCCCAAAGTTCCTATTCTGTCTGTGTTTTGAGCGTACAGCCTGTTTTCCCGTCCCCCCGCTAGTTTTAATTATCTCGCCGCGGCTGGTTCTGAAATCGTACAAAAGCAGGCACGAATGCAGAGGGAGAGAGAGTGTGCGATTGGGTGGGCTCTGGGGCGGTTGTGTTCGCGCTTGAGGAGCAGGGGAGAGACTTGGAACAAAGATCTGAGCCAGGACTTAAAGGTGCACTGTGTAACTTTTCTGCTGGAGGGCGCGTCACCTGCTTGTTTTTACGGATTTGTCATTGCTCTGCCTGAACCTTAAACAGATCTACATTACATTTATGCAATTACAGGTGTAAAAACAGGCATTCTGACTAGGGCCCGACTGATACGGATTTTATTGCAGCTGATATGATACTGATAAAACGGGAGTTGGAGCTGCCGATATAATTACCGATATATTTAGTGATGAAAAATGTCTTATTTTATTTATTTGTAAAGGGACAGTACATATTAATGAACATTAAAAATGTAAATATGCAAAGATTATACCCAACGTGGCTAATTTCCATCTTCAGTCCCTCAGCAGGTTGATGTAAAATCATCTATAGGACGAGGAAAAGTACAGCAACAATCACACAAAAGTACACAACACCAGCACACTCACTATACACACAATTAGTTTCAAACTGTTCATTTGAAGTTCAAAGTCAGAAGTTCACTGTAAATCTTGAATTGTTAAAAAAAACTTTGGTTTGGGATTGTAAATTTCGTTTATTTAGGCAACATTTATTGTTATTCTGCTTCTTTACGTCATATTTACAGACAGTAGGTCGGACAGTAGTGGCATTTTTGCATCACATTCTAGTATCTAGTAAAGAAAGTAAACTACCGCCTTTCACAGTAAATGCGTGCAAAAGTTAGTTTGGTTGAAGATGTTTCGAAGCTCATCCAAGCTGCTTCTTCAGAACTGAGCTGCGAAACGTCTTCAGCCAAACTAACTTTTGTCCAGTCGACAAACTGAACTTTCTCCTCACCATATATGTGTAAATGACGATCATTCACACCTCTATTCACAGCTCATTTACATATCAGTGCTGGTCCAGTAACAAATATACGGCCAATATAGTCACTTTACGGTCGGTCAATAGAAAGACAAAACAGCCTGTTTATGTGTGGGAGTTTACAGCAGCTAATTGCGAACCAATGAGAAATAACCAAAACCACCTTCTAAACCGATACATTTCCAACACTCTGCGCTCACACAGGCTCCTCTCAGATCACACGTTTGCACTAATAAATGTCCTTTTAATCCAAACTCAAACCCATTGTCCGTGAAAAGAATATAATCTCAGTGTTTACATCTATGTCTGCAGGTGTAAACAAACACATGTGAGTGACGTGACTCTGGGGGTGTGTTCAGGGACAGTACGGGCAGACACAGACAAATTACACTGCAGATAAATACTGATGCGGAGCCACATATGAGGACATTTATCTGTCTGTAAATTGGATTAAATGAACATAATGACAGTCTAAGCTTTAAAACGAGGTATAACATGCCCACCTGAAATATCGGCTCATATCAGCAAACATATCGGCCGATAACTGATATGTTTCCAAGTGCCCATATCGGCTGATAATATCGGCCAACCTGTATATTGGTCGGGCCCTAATTCTGACAGTGAGTGGGGTTGCCACTCCACAAATCTGACCTGTAACCACACACTACAGGAGTTTTCAGTCTTAAACAATTTTTAAATGTGCGACAAAAAGCGCACACCACAGACACGAGGAGAATCTTATGAGGTTTTAAGTTTCCGATCACGGGATTTAAAGTTGTGAGCGAGATCACGTCAGCTGTTTCCTGTCTACAGTAAAACCTCTCGCTCTGAGACTCTTAAGTGTTCAAAAGATCAGAGCTCTGCACTTCTCGTTTAGTTACACTACACCCTAAATTTTCCAGTTATTTATGGCAATTCAAGTCGTGCAAGTCCAATGAAGAGCTTGAAATGGGACAAAGATAAGAACTGAACAGCCAGAGGTTAAAAAAAAAAAGATAAAATATAACAAAACACAAGTCCAAGCTCTGCCAAAACTACTACTAAGATGGTAAACTTGAGCGCCAGTTGTCTCCAGCGCAAATTACACTGTTTTTGTTATGAATAAATAAATATTCTTATAAAAAGTGAATTATTAGGATGCTCAGAACACATTAGAAAAGTGAGGAATAACTCCGTACAGATATGGACAGTTTAAAATGAACTTCTACTGTATTTTTTTTTACATGTTTAAGATAATAAAAATCAAGCACAGCGCCTTTAACAGCCCCTGTCCCGTTCATACATAACCCAGTGTTACGTATGTGAGCACCAGTCGTCGCCGGCGCAGATTGAAACTTGCTGTAACTCTAATCCTGCTCCCGTTCACGATTGCCTTCATTTTTCAGTGTCAGCAGCAGCAGGAAGGCCAGGGCCGTGTATCCGTGTGAGGCTGAGCACGAATCGGAGCTCTCCTTCCAAGTCGGAGCTATATTCAACGCCGGTAAGTCCTTATCACCAGCCCTCAACCTGCCAGCGCACTCACCCGCCACCATATTGGATCCTGGGGGGGGGGGGGGGGAGCGCCAATCTGATCTTCGGAGGAGACGGAGCTGCAGGTGGGACGGGGAGGTGGGGCGGGGAGGTGGAGGAAGGTTTAATCACTCACAGGAAATGAACATTTTGTTGGGGCTCTCTCCGATGGTGAGGTGATACAGGACAATAAGAGTTTTGGTGAAAGATTGAAGAAAGATCAGGGCTTTAAAGTTTCTCTGTCGTTATACTAGCAGCTGGAAACTGTTTATTTTACACGTAACTGACAAAAGTTTTAATGAATACAAGACACAACATGTAATTGAAATCGCCAGCAGCTGTTAAATATACATATACAACTACCGTATTTTTCAGACTATAAGTTGCACCTTTTTTTCATGGTTTGGGTGTTTCCTGCGACTTACTATACTCCGGTGCGACTTATATATTAAAATTTGACAGCCACAAGAGGGCGCTCTAGGCTCGTGTGTCAGTATCTGCTGCTCCTGTTCCTCCTGTGCCACTGTCACTTGGCTCTACTGCGCATGTCTCCTGCAGAAAGAGCCTCTGTCCTGTCTGTAAATAGTGAAATATTCAGCCGAAAACAGTATCTGTGTGTGTGTGTGTGCGTGTGTGTGTAATATTGCATTACAACCATAAAAAAACGTTTCACATGGTCAACCTGGGTTCAAATCCCCCTTCTGACTCAGATTTTTTATTTTTTTTTTTTTTTAAATTCAAATTTTATTAACAGTTAAATAGAGATGGCAGTTTAAAATCACATACGTACAACAATTTGCTTTCTCTTTCACTTCACATATCTCTTTTTGATAGTATTGATTTATTATTATTATTATTTTTTCCCCTTATTCCATTAAGGATACAAAGAAATTTAAATAAAATATAGTTTTTTTGGTTTTTTTTAACTGCAACATATAATTAAAGAATACAAACATGACATGGAACATACAAAGAAAATGTAGTTTATCATGCACATTACCTGTAAATGTCGTGCAAAATGTTCACTTTACCTTTACTAATTTTTCATAATATAGTTGTTTGAGAAAAATGTAAAATGGGAAACACTTTCAGGAGTAAACCACACATGACACATATTAACCTTATATAAAGATTTACTACAAAGACAGTGGTAAATTCTTTTTTTTTCCAGTTTTTTTTCCATATTGGTCAGAAGTGACATCGAGGATGAAGAATTGAATGGATTTATTGATTTGGAGTGAGATGGAGAGTTTGTTAAACTTGTTCTGTTCTGTTGTTTATGTTATAGTTTATCTGAAGAACTGTTCATATGTGACGTTAACAGTCTGTTGTTCTCTCTTCTATTGTTTTTACTAGAACTTCACTTTCAAGATAAAATATTGGTTCCTGGTCTCTGATTTTACAAAATAAATTTCCCTCAAAAATGTGACTTACAGTCCGGTGCGACTTATATATATTTTTTTCTTCTTCATTATGCATTTTTTGGCTGGTGCAACTTATACTCCGGAGCAACTTATAGTCTGAAAAATACGGTAAACTTTATGTTAAGTCCACAAAAAGACTTGATAATTGCAAGATAGATGAAGTTTTCAAATAGACGTTACGGTTTCTCATAAATAATTAATAATTAAAAAACAAATATTTCTTCCTCCCTTGATAAAACCGTATACTCTTCCATCCTAACAATCCGTGTATCATTCGTTCATTCGTTTTTCAATATAAAACCAAAAATAAGAAAACGAAAAAACAACAGTTTTCTTCGTTATTTGTCTCCAAAACCAAAATGAAAAAACGGATAATGATTAATTTTTTCAGTTTTCGATTTTGTGTTTAAATGAAGAATGGAAAAAACGGATAACGGCCGTTTCCCGTTTACGTGACTTCCGTGACTGCGATGCCGGACTTTTGCACCGCATACGGACTGAACCAGGACTGATCCAGGTCCGAGACCAGACCGAGACCAGAGCGGGACTGAGACCGGGACCAGACCGGGACCAGAGCGGGACCAGACCGGGACCAGAGCGGGACTGAGTCTCAGTAGCGCTCTGGTCCCGGTCTGGTCCCGGACCTGGTCCATCTTAACCAAAAGCTCTTAGTTCGGTTCGTTTTCGTTGGGGTGAAAGCTCAGAGTCCGGTCTGGTCCCGGTCTGGTCCCGGTCTCAGTCCCGCTCTGGTCCCGGTCTGGTCCCGGTCTCAGTCCCGCTCTGGTCTTGGTCTGGTCTCAGACCTGGATCAGTCCCGGTTCAGTCCGTACCCAGTGAAAAAGTTTGGCATCGCAGTCACTGAAGTCACGTAAACGGGAAACGGCCGTTATCCGTTTTTTCCATTCTTCATTTAAACACAAAATCGAAAACTGAAAAAACGAATCGTTATCCGTTTTTTCATTTTGGTTTTGGAGACAAATAACGAAGAAAACTGTTGTTTTTTCGTTTTCTTATTTTTGGTTTTATATTGAAAAACGAATGATACACGGATTCCTAACTCGTCTTAAAACCGTTTCTTTGTGCCAAATGCCCATTGTTTTGAAACTACATGTGTGTCTTATTAACTAAATATCTCCAAAAATCATTACGACCTTTGACCCCGGCACACTTTCACTCACTTTTGACTTGTGTGCGCTCGTGTGGTCTCGTCTACACTTTAGGCATCTCTCTTTGCATAATAATTGTTGGAGAGGTCAGAAGGTCCGAGGAAATGTACTTTCTATGCCAATGTATACAGAAAATCCAATATAGATTTTTTGCGTGTTGAACCTTCAAATTGTGTGTAATTTATGCTGTCCGTGCTTTGGCTGTGGCGAAACTTCTTAATAAGTATAATGTCAGAACCTTTTCTAACATGAACGTACACGGTGTTTTAACATTCTATGCAAAAATGTATAGCTTCAAGGCTAATCCGATAACACAAGTCGTCAATAAAGCGAGAGTCGGACTGCAGTTTAAGCAGCCAAAAACGTCTAAATAGGTTTTCGTTTTGAACTTGATTTGAATTTCGAAGAATTTGCATAATTGTTAAAAAAATATATAACTCAACAACAACAAAATTTGATAAAACAGGCGATTTAAAGGAGCCCATATTCTATTTTCTGATCTATGTTAAATCAGTACTACGTCTGGTCAAAATCTTTGTATATTTGGCTCTTAGTTCTGAAAATCTAATTTATTCTCTAGATTTTCTTTAGTAGATTGATTTATTGCTCTTGTACTGTAACAAAACTGAGTTGCCTTAGTCTATTTCTTCACACTATGTGGCAAAGGTAAGACTAAGACTTGGGACTCGACTTGGATTTGAGGCCTGTGACTTGAGAAGCACTTTTAAATCTGAATTCTTTCTATTCTGACCGTAATGATTCACTCTAAGATCTTGTCAAAACATTCAAAAAGGAAAAATTAACTAAATTAATTTCTACTACTCTTATAAATATACTCCTATAAATACTCAAATATAAATATACTATGATTTAAGTACAGTTTATCTTAAAATTCATATTAATTGCAAAAATCTATCTATCTGTATTTGGTACTTTGGTTTAAAGATTTGAAATGACTTGAAGCTCAAAGCAGACGACTTCTACTTATTGGCCAGTGACTCGAGACTCAACTTGGACTTGTCTGTATTTGACTTGGGACTTGACTCTGACTTGACGTTAAAGACTTGAGACTTACTTGAGACTTGCAAAACAATGACTCGGTCCCACCTCTGTTATGTTGTATCGGAAGTATCACAAGTATCAGATCGGATCAGAACCCCCCAAAAAATGGTATCCGAACAACATCAGTTATAATGTTGTTTACTCATCACAAACAGACCCAGAGTTGTGTTTTGTTTCATTCACACATGTTTAACACACAAAATGTTTTCTCTCAAACATTCTTTTCTCAAACTGGAAATGCTCTTCTCCACCTTGTGATGATTCAGGAAGAGCTTCACTGTGTTTTTAAACTCCATACGCCTTCGCTTGAATCATTTGTATCAGGGGTTCCCAACCCCCGGGCCATGGACCAGTACCAGGCTTGAATCCCCCTCCGATACGCAGCGAAGACCGTGCCTCCTCCCGTGTTTCCAGCGCCTCTAAACCAGAACTAAAACCAGGTCTAAACCAGAACTAAACTAAACTAAAACTGGTACTAAAACCAGAACTAAAATTAGGTGTAAACCAAGTCTAAAACCAGGACTAAAACAGGATTTAGTACACCGCCTGCTCCTATATGCTACCGGTCTGTGAAAATACTGTCCCGAAAACAGCGCCTACCACCTCCAATCCAGTCCACAAAATATTGTCAGACCTAAAATCGGTCCTTGGCACAAAGATGGTTGGGACCACTGATTTGGTCTGAACTACTGAATACTGAACTAAAGGTAAAAGGAGCCGTTAACTTAAAAACTATCCCCTCATGACATCACAAGGCAGAACAGAGCATTTTGAGCTTTGGAGATGTGGACAGACTAATAATAAAGTGTTACTCAAACATGTCTAAATGAAACAAAACACAACTCCAGATGTTTTTTAAGGAGGTAACAACACTGGCTACCTTCTGACTGCAGCCTGAAGTCACCCAAATCCAATTTTTTCACTCCTATGTTCCTGTATCTGATCTTTTAATGACAGTCTGAACGACACAGACCTGATTTTTACAAATGTGACCCAGGACACTTGGATATGTGCTCCTAAAACCGATACATATCCGATCTTTTGACATGCGACTTCAGTCTGAACGGACAGGTCACATTCATCCCACCTACAAATGTACACAAATGTTTTTCTCGTCATACGAAAACTGTGTTTGAATTCCGTGTGAGTGAAGCAGTGACGCGCATCACAGTCCCACCACTTTTGGCTGAGACTCTGCACCCACACGTTTCTTTCTACGGACGTCGCTGCCGCTGCCCCACAAAACACCACGGCCAAAAACCTCGTCCTTCTCCTTCTCAATCTCCTTAAAACAAGTAAGTTGTTCATGTTGTGGCTCCGGTACGAGAGGAACTTTAAAATCTCCAGGTGCTCGATGCTCACGTCCATGTTTGGACAACTTCCGTAAACACAGAGCACACTCGTCGTCGTGTCCTCTAGTGTGCATATGGGACACTTTTAGGGCGTTTAAAGTTCACACTGAAGATCACAAACAAGAGCATTTAATTGGAAATGTGAACGACCTCGCAAAAAAATTGGATTTCACCAAAAAAAATCCATTATAACACATCTTAAATCTCACAACTATTCAAACTTTTCCATACTTGAGTAACATTTAACATAATTTCATCTATATTTTCTCTCTTGATCGTGTCTTCGTCAGCTCCTCGTGAGTGTAAATGTGACAGGATTGGTGTGATTAGCCCGGATGCCCTGGATGGTGCGGTGGCAGATGGCTCCTGAGGCTGCAGCTCTGTTTAAACTTGGCTCACTTTGTTTACAAATCCCAAATTCGGGGAAAGATTTAGGAAGTTCTCTCCATCACAATACGACACATCTGTCAACAGTTTGAGAGGATCCGTTTCACCGGAGACTGTGAAGAATGAGGGAGAAGTCGGCTCAAAAACTGTTTATGACTCCCGTATCCTCCGCAGACCCACTGTCTCAAACTGTGGTGCAGGTTTTTTTTTTAAAGCTGCATCATGGAACTTTTCTGGTGGCTCGTGTGTCATTAGCTTGTCTCCGTGGAGTTGCTTTTCCTTTGCTTGTAATGTTTCACAATATAGCAAAAAAATATATATATATATCACCATGGAGACAGGTAGTAAGCACCACAAGACCAAGTTAAAAAAAAATCTGTGTGTCATTCGTTCATTAGTTTTTCAAAATAAAACCGAAAATAAGAAAATGGGGGAAAAAAAATAAAAAAATAAAAAAATTTCGTCATTATTTGTCTCCAAAACCAAAATGAAAAAAAAAAAGAAAAAAAAGATAACAAATCGATTTTTCAGCTTTTGGTTTTGTTTTTAAATGAATAATCGAAAAAACGGACAACGGCCATTTCCTGTTTACGTGACTTTAACTGTGATGCTGGACTAAACCAGGACTGAACCAGGTCTGGGACCAAACCAGGACTGAGACCGGGACTGAGACTGATTTATTTTAGTAGCCCTGGTTTAGTCTGTATGCGGCGCAAAAGTCCAACATCGCAGTTTAAGTCACATAAACGGGAAACAGTCGTTATACATTTTTTCCATTTTTCATTTAAACACAAAATCGAAAACTGAAAAAACAATTTGTTATCTGTTTTTTCATTTTGGTTTTGGAGACAAATAATGAAGCAAATAGTTGTTTTTTCGTTTTCTTATTTTTGGTTTTATTTTGAAAAACAAATGAATGAATGAGACACGGATTGGAAAACGCGCTTATACTATGAATGCATTTTTTATTTGCATTTTAATAAAAGTTACATGGTGTGCTTCTTTTTCTTTTAAATAAACAGGACAGTTGGCCGAGCTTTTCTGTATCCATGGGTTTCAGAATGATGATAAATTATTATTTTTGCCACAGTGATAAACAATTTCAACAAATGACTATATATTTTGAATGTGGAAAAAGTCCTCGAATGTTGCATATTAATAAAAACATGAACACATGAACATGATAATTTAATTCTGAATTAATTCTGAATAAAAATGAATTCTACTTTAAAAAGACCATGTAAACACTATTGAAAATAATTATTCAGAATTAAACTTAATTCTGAAGTAAGTGTTTGGTTTATTATTTATCCGTGTGTCGTTCGTTCATTCGTTTTTCAATATAAAACCAAAAATAAGAAAACAAAAAAACAACAGTTTTCTTCATGATTTGCAAAACCAATCATCCAAAACCAAAATGAAAAAACAGATAACGATTCATTTTTTCAGTTTTCAATTTTGTGTTTAAATGAAGAATGGAAAAAAACGGATAACGGCCGTTTACGTGACGTCCGTGACTGCGATGCCGGACTTTTGCACCGTATACAGACTAAACCAGGACTGATCCAGGTCCGGGACCAGACCAGGACCAGAGCGGGACCAGATCTGGACCAGAGCGGGACCAGATCTGGACCAGAGCGGGACCAGAGCCTGACCAGACGAATCGTTATCCGTTTTTTCATTTTGGTTTTAGAGACAAATAATGACGAAAACTGTTGATTTTTCATTTTCAAGGTCTTAAAAAAGTCTTAAATTTGGTGTAGTCAAACCCGGGTATTCCCTGTTCCAGACAAAGCAACAGCATCTCCACGGAGACAAGCAGGCGGCGAACCCTCCACCAGAAAAGTTACACGATGCTCCTTTAATCAAGTCCGTCCTTCACTGTCCTTGTGCTTATTCGGTGTCTCCTTTGCCCTTTGTCTCCGCAGTGACCATGTCCAGGGAGCCGGGCTGGCTGGAGGGCGAGCTGGAGGGCAAGCGGGGCCTCATCCCAGAGAACTACGTGCAGATGCTGTAGCGCCACCCGCCTGCGGACGCGAGGAACTGCGGCCAGACGCATGCGCCAACACCAAAAGTGACAATGTTCTCCAACTGCGAGGAAAAGCGAAACCAAGGAACCAGGATCGTTAAATGAATCATCGGACATATTGGTTATTTTTATTACATTTTTACTTTTTTTTTTTTGTTTGGTTTTTTTGGTGCATGTGCCCAGGTAGTCTCCAGGTAAGAACTATTCCATTAAAGGGTCCATATTACGCTATTTTCAGATCTATGTTGTAATGTTTCTTCATCAAAAACAGACCTGGAGTTGTGTTTTGTTTCATTCACTCTGTTTTAAACTAAGTGCTTCTGCTCACAAAAAGAAAACACTCAATTGTTGTTCAGTTGTTTTTAAACTTCAGACACCTTCACTACAATCATTTGGATCATTTCAGCCTTGGAATTTCCAATCTCTACTGAACAAAATGTAAAAGATAACTAAAAACTAAACACTGAAGGTCCACTAAAGGAGGTTCATTTGGGCTTTCGATAATTTGTTATTAGGTTCTTTTTTCAGACGAAGAGTTTGTTTTCATACCTGACAGTTTCTGGTGGTCACTTGATGTTGCTGTGACGTGTCCAGTCAGATGATTTATCTTTTTCAGGTTTTGGCGCTGTTTTCATATCGGTGGAGGCAGGATGTACAGAAAACTCAGGCAGTTACTCGTCCCAGAGTCCTGCAAGGGTCCATTTTTGGAAACCCGCACCCGCCCGTTAATCCATGATTTTATTTATATATATAAGTTGTTTAAATTAAACCCGCACCTGCCCGAACCCGTTAACATTCCACCTGTTACCCGGCCGTGCTTGTTATAAATCACACACAGATTAAAAGCATTCTAACTGAAGCATTTATCAGAATACGAATTACAATGATGAAATGAAATGAAACGGTTTCACTTTCTTCAAATTCAAATTCACAAATTCACAGACCCGACTCGACTGTCATCACTTCACAGGCTTTATTTACTGAATTTACTAAAACAGGACTAAACTGTTTTCAGTCCTGGTCTGGTCCCAGACTGGTCCCGATCTTAGTCCAGGTCTCAGTCCTGGTCTTGTTCTCGGTCTCAATCCTGGTCTCAGTTCTGTTCCTATCCCGGTCTCAGTCCCGGTCCTGTCCCGGACCTAGTTTAGTCCTGGTTCAGTCCGTATGCGGCCCAGAAGTCTGGCATCACACTTTAAGTCACACAAATGGGAAACAGTCGTCATCCGTTTTTTTTTTTTGTTTTTTTTTTATTATTCATTTAAACACAAAATCGAAAACTGAAAAAAACAAATCGTTACCTGTTTTTTAAATTTTGGTTTTGGAGACAAATAATGAAGAAATTTTTTTTTCATTTTCTTTTTTTTGGTTTTATATTGAAAAATGAATGAACGAACGACACACGGATTCAATCGAAATGCGGAAACGTTCCCACAGAACTATGAACCGGGACGAGGGGTCTTTTTTACTCTCACACACCTGGGATTCTGTCCTGAGGAAGTGGGACTGCAGGTGGCGCTGTCGTCCTGCCTCCGCCGGTAGGAAGACAGCGCCAAAACCTGTTTAAATCAGCTGAACGACACGTCACAGCAACATCACGAGACTCTGAGGAATGAAAACAAACTCTTGGTCTGAAAAATACTAAAATACTCTTAACTACTACTAAAAAAACACAACTCCAGGTCTGTTTTTGATGCAGTAACGACATTATAACACGCCTTAAATCTCACAAGAGTAAATTTTGCGTAATATTGGACATCTCAAAAACATCTAGAGTCCGTTTTTTATCGTAAACAACTTCTAACAAACACAAATATCGTACGTAAGAGCTTTAAGAGTCTCCAGCTGAATGCCCCCGTGCCTGGTCCACCACAGCGATGTAATGTATGTACAGCTATGAAAATCTATGAGGAATTTAATTATTATTTTAACATTTTCTTTTAACGATATTCACTGGTATGTTGCATTACGGTTTATAATATGGCACTTGTGGAGGAAATTTATCAGCTATTTATTCAGAGTTCACAGCGGCGTCCAGAAGGAGACAGATGAAATTTGTGAGCTTTTGAACTTTTATTATATTAACTGTACACAAATTTAAAAAAGGTAAGGTAAAGGTATTTAAAATTGAATCACTGTATTTGTAATTACGGGAGTGTAAACCATTGGTAGGTATGAGCTAAAACAGGGGTCTCCAACCTTTTTCCTCCGGTGAGCTACTTTTACAAAACAAAAATGCCAGAGAGCGACTAGTTTTAGCAGTAACAAGAAATTATAAGAAGTATAATAGAGCCAAAGAAAGCCTTAGATGAAGTACAGGTAGATCAGGGTGACCAGACGTCCATATTTATTCGGGACAGTCCCAGTTTTGAGTCCCCTGTCCCAGCAGATTTATCCAAAACCAGTAATTTGTCCCAGTTTTATACAAAAATTCTCTCTTTTTGACCAATTTTTGATCCCTGTCAACAGTAAAGAGAGTCATAAACTGTCATTTGTTGAAGTAAAATACAGAAAAGCTGCTTAAAAACGACCAAAACACAAAGAAAATGTGACAGGCTGGCGTCACCTAGTGCCTCCGCTCAATTTCATTTCCTCTCCAGCGACTAGGTCAGGAATCAGAATACACTAGACGGTTCGCAAAAACCCCAAAAGTGCGAGTCCGGGCACCAGCCAATCAGAGAAGAGTCATATATTCTGTGTTATCAACGATTCCCGAGATCGAGGATTTATTTAAAGCCGGAATAAAGAGAATGTTTGGTGAATTTGATTTTATTTTGGCCCCGTTTGCGGCGCATTACTTAACCAAATAGCAGCGATTGGTTAAATAATAAAAAGTACCCGCCTACCATCGAGCGAATGAATCCTAATGCTGTGAGGTCAGACGGTTTCTACGAAGTGAATCAGGTTATATCCATTCACTCATTACTCCATTCAATAGACGGTTCGAAAAAAAACCCGGAAGTGCGAGTTCGGGCACCAGCCAAACAGAGAAGAGCCAGACATTCTGTGTTGGCAACGATTCCTGAGATCGAGGATTTAAAGCCGGAACAAAGGGAATGTTTGGTGAATTTTATCAAGAGGTAAGACGTTATTGCCCTTCTTCCTACGGGATTTGGTGCATTACATACGTCACAACCAAACAGCAGCGATTGGTTAAATAAAAAAAGTACCCACCTACCGTCAAACGAATCCTAATGCTGAGAGGTCAGACGGTTTCCACGAACTGAAACCGGCTGATGAAAGAGGCTATCATAAATGGGCCAAGCACAGAAAAATTTTACTTAAATACACACTCATTTCACAATTTTATCATTACCAAACCACCTCAAATCAGAATTGTCCCAGTTTTTGATTTCGAAAGTCTGGTCGCCCTAAGTTAGACGACTCAAAAACATAAACCATTATCCATTTAGTGCACAAAGTGAGGCATCAAAATAATACTTGTACAGTCGTAAAAGGCATTTAATTCATCAAATTTTATACGTGTAAGTCAGAAATCCCTTGGAGAGCTACAGGTCGGAGACTCCTGCTCTAAAATATTCGCTCCTAGTCACAAATTGTAGTTTTTCTTCACGTTTTTATCACAACAATCGCTATTATTTACGAGTTTAATCTTGAATACCACGTCACCTTTACCCACAAATACTGATATTTTGCAGCGACGTCACGCGGGTACGTCTAGGGCAGAATGTTCAGCAGTTACCGTGGCGACGCGATGCAAACATTCGGAAACACCAAATTAGTTTTTGGATTGTCTGGAAACTCAAAAAGAAACACAAAATGGATTTAAAAACGGCACATTTTCAGGAGCGTGTGATCAATATGAGGTGTTTGACTTTTAAACAAAAAGGTGAGAGCGTCGAACTGAAAAACTGTTGAGAGGGACTTGTTTAACAGCGGAATCAAAAAACTCCACTGTTGTACTTCCAGATAAATCAGCTCTTTATGGTCAGATTGTGTTAAAATAAAAGCTCAGATTAAAGTCTAAGTCGAGTAAGGAATTTTGATGACGTCAGCTGCAAAGTATCACTAAATTCATGTATTTATCTTTTATTTTTTATTATTTTGAAGCGCCACAAGCAGCTTTTTAGCATTTGCATTGTCATCAGCACAGTCTTAGCAGCCTATCCATCTTTAATTCAATACACATTTTTATTTTTATTAGTCCCTATTCGTATTTCTATCAATTAAACAACCAATAACTTTCTTTTTTAATTTTAACTATCTAAAAAAAAAACAAATAATAAGCTCAGTCTGTGTCCGAATGTCCAACCTTAGTCCCTAATCCCTCGCTCACTGCGTAGGCCCACACTCTTCGGCGCCCTCTGCAGTTCACGCACTCACAGAGGGTCACGTGACTCTGGCGTCTGGCGAAGAAAAGTCGAAAGGCTAAACTCTGATAACACTCGATTTCTGTCATAATAAAGATCAGATCAGACTGGCACACGAGTGTTTATGGACTAATAATAATCATAAAATGGACAGTAAACGGGCTGGATTATTTGCTTTTTGTCTGAGATGTGGAAATAACGGTTAAAGTAACCAGCACCGTTAACACCAGAACGGTTTATTTATTTTTTCATAATCACAGATCAAGAGTTCGATAAACCAGCGCTTTAATCTGCTTCATTCAGTCGTGTTGTGTCCAGTTAAACACCGGTCGCCGTTGTTTTTCCGACTCTCGCAGTGCATTGTCGACTATATTGACAGCTCTAGTGACCACCGACCCTGGATTTATAATAAGAATTGGACAGGGCGTTCCCCGTTTGTTCCGGCTCGAGACAGACTAGTGGCCACTCCAGGTACTGCAGCTCCCGGGAGCTTGGGCTCAGAAAGAATTCTCTTGAAGAGCGCGATTCAAACTGCCCGTGTTCTGACAGGACAAACGCAACTTTCACAAAGATCGGATTTTGTAGGTTTCGTTTCTATTTTCACAACATGAACTTTTTAAAATGTTTAAATCCTCAAAGCGTCTAAAAGTGATCTTCGTAACACTTATCCTCGTCCCGCCCTGAGCCACTCTAGCTTCACTCTAGCAGCTCTCGCTCTGATTGGTCCAAACGCTCCACTCCGTTCACATTACAGACGTCACACGGGTGGGAGGAGTTCGCCCAGATTGAAGTGAACTGAAGTGAAGTGAATTGAAATGCGGAAGAGAAAATTATTTTTGGGCCCATGCGCCAATGAGTTAGACTGATTCATCAGCCGGTTTCACTTCGTAGAAACCGTCTGACCTCGCAGCATTAGGATTCATTTGCTTGACGGTAGGCGGGTCCTTTTTTTATTTAACCAATCGCTGCTCTTTGGTCGTGACGTATCTAACGCGCCGGAACGCTCAGTGGTGTCCAAGTAATTGCCGGCTTCAGAGCTCTTCGCTGATTGGACCGGTGCGCGGTCTTCGACTTCCGGGGTTCTTGCAAACCGTCTAGTGCAGGCATGTCCAAACTATGCGGCCCTCAGACCAATTTTTCTTGGCCCTCAGGCTTCCAGGTGAATTGGCCCAAATTACCTTGCATCAATTACAAATAAACATTTAAAATCTACCTTGGTAAAGCCACTATTTAATATTTAGTGTGTGGTTTTAAGGATCTTAACATGAATAAAGACTGATGGTTCATTCTAACGTGTTAAACATGCAAATATTTCAATTATTCCCTGTACTGAGCATCAGTCTACAACCCTCTGCTTCATCTGTGTTTACATATGTGGCCCTTGATGAAAAAAGTTTGGACACCCCTGTTCTAGCGCAGACATGTCAAACTCAGGCCCGGGGGCGAAATTTGGCCCAAGATATAATTATATTTGGCCCACAAGATCCTATCAAACATGTATTAGAGCTGCCCGCCGGCTACAGATCAACTATAGACACACTATTTATTTAAAATGTTATTATTTTATATTATGTTTGTTCTGGATTTAATGTTTCAGCAAAACTATAGTTAAACATTTATTTTAATTAGAAACAGTTTAACATTACATATCTCGAAAGAATAGAAAACTGTTGGAGAAAATTTTCAATAAATATTTAATTTGGCCCACGACTTAGTCTTAGTTTTTAATTTTGGCCCTCAGTGAATTTGAGTTTGACACTTCTGGTCCAGCATATTCCGAATCCTGACCTAGTCGCTGGAGCACAGTCCACTGAAATCAACACAACGCCATCTTGAGTTCACCTTCCAGATTTTATTGTACTTCCATCCCACCAATGCTCTTTACGTTTCCTGGTGCATTGTGGGATTTTGAGTTCCTACTTTTTCACCAACTGGACATTCGGAAAACGCCCCTGAAAACGCCATGACCCCTAAATAGTGCCTTAAGTAGAGCACAGTGTGGACGTTCGGACACAGCCTCACTGTACATTAGAGGAGTTTTGGTTACCTAGCAACTACATCACGGTTGCTAGGTAACAGTTATGCAATTCCCTAGCGTGATGTCATGATTTTCAACCAGGAAGTACAATCTGAAACCCAAAAAAAGTCAAATCGTAACCGTAAACGTAACGATTCTAGCTGCGTTTTAGTCAAATCGTTAGTCCAACCGGTCATGCGCACTTTACATAATCCAGGGATCTGTTGACGACTCCGCAGTTGCCATATTATAATGTAACGTAACCTGCTTTTGGAATTTTTTAATATGAGGCACATTGATGTTTTATGTTTTATTTAATTGGCACATGAATGCATGGGTTTGAACTGTAAAAACACTCTTTGTTTTTAGTGCACTCCAAAGAAAATCCATTTACGAACCAAAGTTTATATGAGTCGGATCTTATAACCTTTTGCATGACGTCTTCTTTTATCACAAAACGCGTTATTTTAACCAGACAATTCAACGTTTTACCATGCACTATTGTTTTAAAGGGCCTATATTACATTATTTTATGTGTTACAATGTTGTTTTCTCCTGACCTGGAGTTGTGTTTTGTTTCATTCACACAAGTTTAACCCACAAACCCTGCAGATTTAGGCCGAATTTTTCCGAAAAATACCAAAAACACGATGTCATGTGGTATTTTCGAACTCAGTACACCTCCAGATAAAATAATTTGGATGATTTCAGCCCAGGAATAGCCAATCTTTACTAAACAAAAGGTAAAAATGTAGATGCTTGAACTTGAAAATTACCATATTTTCCCGACTGTAAGTCGCACCGGAGTATAAGTCGCACTTTTTGAGGAAATGTATTTTATAAAATCAGAGACCAGGAACTGATATTTCATCTTAAAAGTCAAGTTCTAGTAAAAACAACAGAAGAGAGAACAACAGACTGTTAACGTCACATATGAACAGTTCTTCAGATAAACTATAACATAAACAACAGAACAGAACAAGTTTAACAAACTCTCCATCTCACTCCAAATCACTAAATCCATTCAATTCTTCATCCTCGGTGTCACTTCTGAGCAACTCCTCGACCTCCAGAGGTAAACGGTAAAAGAATTATTCCCGCTTTTCTGAATCCTAACATTAGGGTTTCAGTTGTCTTGATGTTTGTTTAAATTTTACCAGACAATTTGTTTAGATGTACCAGACACAACAGTGGCTCTTTCTCTTTCTTCTGCAGCCGACATGCGCAGTAAAGTGAGAAGTGACAGTGGTACAGGAGCACACAAGCCTCTCGTGACTGTCAATGTGTAAATTTTAATATATAAGTCGCAGGAAACACTCAAACCATGAAAAAAGTGCAACTTATAGTCTGAAAAAAATCACTAAATCCATTCAATTCTTCATCCTCGGTGTCACTTCTGAGCAACTCCGCGACCTCCGGAGGTAAACAGAGCGCCGCTTCCTCTTCTGTGTCGCTGTCGTCAGACTCAGCATCAGTTCCAGTTAGAATTATTCTGGTCTTTCTGAATCCCGACAGGATGGTTTCGGTGTCACTGAAGTCCAGACTTTGTCCATCCATCCAGTGACTTCAGGAAAGTTTCATGGCGCACCCTCCCGGTTACACTCTAACCCGCTTTCCGCCAGTCAATCACAAGTTTCTCGCTCACTCCAAACTTTCTTTCTGCTGCTCGATTACTCGTTTTCGGCTGCATATTTCACTATTTGCAGCAGAACAGAGGCTCTTTCTACAGGAGACATGCGCAGTAGAGCAAAGTGACAGTGGTACAGGAGTAAAAGTAGAACTCGATACTGACACACGAACCTGGAGCGCCGTCTCAGTCTGAAAATTTGAATATATAAGTCGCACCGGAGTATAAGTCGCAGGAAACCATGAAAAAAAAAGCCACTTATAGTCCAAAAAATACGGTACTTAAACATGACAGTACAACAAAAGACAACTCCAGGTCTGTTTTTGATGTAGTAACAACATTTTAACACGTCTTAAAGCTCACAAGAGTCCGTTTTGTGTAATATAGGACCTTTAATCATAACTTTACCAAGTATATTAATTACTGCAAATGTCCGTTACAAGTTTTGGAGCTGTTTGTAGTTTTGTAGTGACACGGAGAGTGGCCTAGCGCAGTTCACAAAGACAGTTTAATTTCTCTGAGAGCTTTTGGTTGGGCCTGTTGTTTATGTTTGGAATTGTGGTTGCAATAATTTAAGACATTGATTTATAACGTTTGTAAAAGACCTTGACATCACCTTTTATACCTCTGGGTATTCTTTTGATTTATGTTAAACAAATAAAGTTTTTGTTCATTATTGCATTCTGTCTGATTGCGTACAGGACAATGGATTAAGAGATTAGCTTTCGGTGGAGGTCAACGCTGTCGAAATGCTGCATTGAATTAAAAAAGGAGGTGTTTTACTTCGATAGGGCATTAACTGCGAGCACATAAACATATTTACATTGTCGTGTTGCCTTTTGTTGTTTTGAAAATGCTGTATTTGCCAAAAAAACAACGTATTAACTTGTTTAATTTTTTTCGTTTCTCCACACAAAGGTTACGTTCAGACTGCAGGGTTTAATGCTCAATCTGGATTTTTTTGTGAAATCTGATTTTTTTGCGAGGTCGTTCACTTTTCCAATTAAATGCGATCTCCAGTGTGAACTTTTAATGCCCCAAAAGTGTCCCGCATGAGCATTGGAGGACACGACGACGCCTCAGTGTTTATGAAAGTCGCCTAAACGCTGGACTTGTCTCCCAAAATCCGGTCCAGTTCTTGGTAAAATGGACAGTTTACACGTCCACGGCCGCTTCATTTGTTTGCGTCTTTAGCTTCCTTGTATTTGACTCGCAGGCTCTTTAGTTTTTCCAATGAGGTTCATTTGGTTTTCCGATAATTTATGTTATTAGGTTCTTTTTTCAGACCAAGAGTTTGTTTTCATACCTGACAGTTTCGACTGCTCACTAGTGTCTTCCTCAGAGTCACGTGATGTTTTTATGACGTGTCCGATCGGATGATTTAAACAGGTTTTGGCGCTGTCTTCCTACCGGTGGAGGCAGGACGATGGCGCCATCTGCAGTTCCGACTTCCTCAGGAAGTCCTCTCTCCCAGGTGTGTGAGAGTAAAAAAGCCCCCTCGTCCCGGTTTATAGTCCAGTGGGCACGTTTCCGTATTTCGATTACCTCTTTAAGGATTAAAGAGGCAAGATGGCAGATGGAGCCTGTCGTCCTGCCTACACCAGTAGGAAAACAGCTCCAAAACCTGTTTAAATCAGCTGACCAGACACGTCACAGCAACATCACGTGACTCTGAGGAAGACGCTAGTGAGCAGTCGAAACTGTCAGGTATGAAAACAAACTCTTGGTCTGAAAAAAGAACCTAATAGGTGAGTTTCAGCTGACGTCATTGTTATTAAAAGCCCGCGTTGCATGCTGGGAAATATTTTGGTCGAAGGCAAGAAAGACGATAGCGTCAAACACAGTGCGTAACCTCGCGTATTTATCCCCGATAATGGTAAATTCCTGCTGCATTATCGGATGCACAAATAGAATTACAGGAAAAAGGAAAATGTCTTTTTCGTATTCTGAGTGAAAAGAACCACTAACGGTGAATTAAACGACTTTCAAACATCCGCAGAGCAAACGTAGAAGATCCTAACAAACCGTGGACTCCAACAAGTTCAACAACACATCGAGACTCTTGGAGGTTTTCATCTTTTCTGCTGTGAATGGCCCAGGAGTTTCCACCAAGTCATTGTGGATATCGCCCAAAGTGAATATTTGTCCAGGTAGTTGGCGATTCCGACCAGAAATTTGGTTTGGTCCACCTTTTGTCGGGGTTGAAAAGGGTGATTTGTCGTCCGTCGATGTTTATGACCAATTTCTGGTCAAATGGTCTTGGGTCCTCTGCCGTTAGAGTGGATAAATAACCGGGATCAACACCCTTTACGTGCTTTCTCGCTCCGTCCGTCATGTTGAAACCGACCAAAATAATTCCCAGCATGCAACGCGCGCTTTTGTCAACACTGAAACTCGCCTATAACATATCTTTATTTTTTGTTGACATTGGAGCCAGGACATTTCTTTGTCATTTCAGAAACCACCAGGTGCTGATAAGACTCCTCCAATTTGTCCTGAATACAGAGATCCTCCCAAATATGAATAAACTCACTAACCTCGCTTTCCCTCCATTGACGAGACTCCGAGCCTGACGTGTAGGTGGGATGAATGTGACCTGACCGTTCAGACTGAAGATCGGATATGTATCGGTTTTAGTATCACATATCCAAGTGTCCTGGGTCGTATTTGAAAAAATCGGATCTGTGTCGTTCAGACTGTCATTAAAAGATCAGACACAGCAGCACAGGGGCGAAAACAAAATCGGATTTGGGTCACTTCAGGCTGCAGTCTGAACGCAGCTCCTCCTTCAGAGCAACATCACAACACAATCAGCATGCGAATGAAACTACTGCTCATTTGTCAAGTTGCTGTGTACAGTTGTATCGTGAACATGGGTGACGTAGGCTTGTGGGCGGGACCTTGTACACAATTTTACAGCTAAACGTAAAAAGGGTTTGAATCAGGCCTAGGAGCGATTGCTAAATTACTCAAACATGCATTTAAAGCGTCTTCAGTCACGTTTTTGATGAGGGAACAGCGTTATAACACGGTAGAATGTTCCAAAAGCAGATTTGACCTAATAATCGCTCTTTAATGATACGACGAGAAGATATTATAAGTTCATATACAGAAGTGGGTAGAGTAAATAAGAGTAATATTATTTCAAAATAATATTACTAAAATATTAAAAAGTAACTGCAAATTTCTCTGAGCTGACCAAGATTTTACAAGTTATATCAGGTTACTCATTTTGTTTTCAGATTTATTATCGACTTACTCGTTCAGAGACGCTTAATTCTAGTTCAGAGGTGGTTTATTTTAAGAGAACTTGTTGCATGGACAAATCATTTCACCACTTTTAAGTCAGTTTCTGTACCAGAGTTAAGTAATCAGAGTACAAATTATGAGTAACTGTGTTCAGTTACAGTTACTGTTTCAGTGAGTGGTAATTGGATTACAGTTACTTTGTTGAAATAAATGGATTACACGGCGGGATTTTCCTGTTTTCACATTTTGGGCTAAACCAGGACTAAAACTAGGACTAAACCAGGACTAAACCAGGACTAAACCAGGTCTAAACCAGGACTAAATTAGGTCTAAAAGCAGGACTGAACCAGGTCTAAACCAGGACTAAACCAGGACTAAACCAACTAAACCAGGACTAAACCAGGACTAAACCAGGACTAAACTAGAAAAGCAGTCAGAGAGCGCAGACCTCCGCCAAGGACTACCCCCATTTTTTATAAATTGCGATAAAATCAGTCTTCTGGATCAGATCCGGATCAGCCTTTGGAATATGAAAGAGGATCCCATTGTCCATCCCTGAGTCAAATTTCATGGGGTTTGGTCAATAATTAACAGAGATATTGAGAAACAAAATTTTTGGCCCCATTTACCACAATGTTAACTAAAATTTCAAAGTGATCCAGAATCCAGGATTTCTTCCGGATCACCCCCAAAATGAAATCAGTTATTCCTTTTCACATTTCCAACAAATCCTGAAAATTTCATCAAAATCGGTCCATAACTTTTTGAGTTATGTTGCTAACAGACAAACAAACAAACAAACAAACAGACAAACAGACAGACAAACGCCGGCAAAAACATAACCTCCTTGGCGGAGGTAACCAGGTCTAAAAGCAGGACTGAACCAGGACTAAACCAGGCTTTTTATTTTCTTTTAGCAGATAAAACAACTTATGTTAAGATCCTCGTTTTTGTTTCTCTACATTAAACAAAAGTCTGTTCATGAAGTCTTGGACTCAACACACAATTTGAAAACAACAAACATGAATCTTCAGGATGTGGTTGTTACATTCGTGTAATTTTAAAACGCACGACAATATCAAGTAATCCAAAGTATTCAGATTACGTTACTCACTTTAAATAATTTAATGGATTATGTTACAAACTACATTCTGGAGTATGTAATCTGTAATCTGTAGGGGATTACATTTTACATTTTTAACGTTCCCAACACTGGATACATCTTAAATTTTGGCCAAGCTTTGTTGCAGTGTTCTATTTCAGTAAGAGTAGCTGTCGGAGTGTGCATCTGTTTTATAACATGAAGTTAATGTAATCTGAAGGACAAAACATCTTGTATTTTCAATGGAAAGAGACAAAAATTATACAAACGAAATCATTTCTGAAGAAGCGCCGCAAGAAACACAAATGTTCAAATCGTTTCTTATTGTCACATAAAGCTTTTCTCACTTCAAACTTACTCGCCGTGTACAGAGGAGCTGAAACTTGTAATCGTTTCAATAAAAATATTACTCAAGTAGGAGCAAAAGTATTTGAAAAGTACAATTCCCTTAAAAAGTTGCTTAAAATGTTATTTTTTGAGCAGAAGTTTTGGCTACTGTACCAAGATGACATGAGTAGAGAAGAACATGCAAACTGCACAAACAAACCCTGACGAGAGACCAAACCCCGTACCTTCTTGCTGTGAGGTGAGCGAACTAACCACTCTGCCACTGTTCCATCATAATGTACCGTAATGTGTCTTTATATGTCACATTTATAAAAGTGGACTTGGATTTTCCAGGGCAGGTGACAAACAGAAGCTGTGGATCGATACTGGATCTTGTCCACACTTGAGTCAAATATGACGTCTTGTGTATTTTCAGAGACGATTCGAGATGATCAGGTGTCATTTCTTCACCATTTTTTCACAACTCTCCAATAGTGCACAGAGATATTGATTATTAGTCATAAAACAAAAGGGTTAGACCAGGGGTGTCAAACATACGGCCCGGGGGCTGGATCTGGCCCTCCAAGACCTTTAATCTGGCCCTCGGCTGATTTTCTAATAAAATATTTGAATTATATTTTCTATTAAAACATTGTTAATTTTCTGTGGTGTTTATCACAGCAGCGTCTCCAGCGTCTCTGTACGTGGCCCCTCCCACCAGAGCAGCACAAATGAAGACTTGTCTCTTTCCAAACGCTCTTAAAGGACGATCGTTTTGACTGTTGACCGTGACACCCTCATCAGAAAAATGTCCAACATGAGAAAAGTGGAGCTGAGTGCAGGATTTTACAACAAAAAAAAAGACTTATTTTTCCTATTTTGCAAACAAGTTCATGTTAAAACATTGTGTTGAAATTGCATTTTTCTTAAAGTTTCAGGTTGTTCATAATATTATAATATTTTGTAAAAGAAAGAGTTCATCAGTTAAAAAATATTTC